TATCATATAATAATATATATATCATATAATAATATTCTGTATAATATAATAATGTATATCATGTAATAATATATATATCATGAAATAATATTCACTATAATATAAAACACACACACATATATATATATAATGATGTATTTATAACTATACATCATGTCTCAGCAGGTGCTTCATGTCCCTCTCTCCCTAGCTGTCCGTGCTGGATCTGTCCCGTTGTTTTAAAAAGCTAAATAAGTTATTAGCATGACGTCATGCAGCTAGCCTAACCTGTCTGGTGTGCAGCTAGAGAAGCTTCATGTGCTGCTTCCCTTTCCTGCTAGTGTTGCCCTCCCGTCAGTGTATGATGACGGGCGCACCAAAGAACGGCAGCAGACACCTTGAATACACTTTCAACAAATGTTTTATTGAGGGTGCCTGTTCTCTACTCACACTCTTCTCTTGCTGTTCTTCTTCTGAGAAACTTTACAAGGAAGCGTGACTACCATGCACAGACAACCCCCCTAGTGGTCAGATGGCGACACCTGCTGGCCGCTTTAACTATAACAGACATTACAATATAAAATGAGTTAGTCAAAAATCCATTTATCTCACACTAGTCTGCTGTCTGATTGTGAGGTCAGGCTGATCTGATATCAGCTCTTTGGCCTGAAGGTTCTCCTCAAAGTTCTCCTCTCAAACGGGTCTTGGGGGACATCAGACGTCCTCCATAAGATGTCCTGCATCAGATGTCCTTTATCACACGTCCTTCTAAAGACGTCCTCCATAAGACGGCATTTCCAACTTCCGGTTCAAGACACAGGCAGGGACTTATACCACTTAAGAGGAAGAACACGAAAAGAACTACAACTTACCTTATCAAGTTCCACATCTACTTACCTTATCATAGAGCAACATTCAAAGTAATTGGCCGACTTTGATCGTTGAGAAAAGATATAAACATGAAATGTTATGTTCACACTGATTACCAGCACAGTGTGCTGTTCACGATCATCTGTATATTGAATAAGCCTTGGAATCAGCTGAGCTGTTGACAAAATACATTTTTTTAATCGAGATTAGTAAAGTTTTGTGGTTTCATACAAAATCATGTCTGCCTTTGTCAGTTTGTCCAGTGGGCTACTTCTTCTAACCATTATATCAGCAAATACCATAAGAGTTAGTTTAGTCCTTTAAATCGGAATATCTCGGTCTCTTCTGTTATCATGTTTTCATCACATTGAAGCCTCCACTGTGATCTACTCTACAGAGGCAGCTAATCCTAACACCTCATCAATATGTTTCAAGATCAATCATATCTTGCTGTCTGAGAAGAGATGGAGGTGAAGTGAAGACATTGGATGAGTATGTGGCTGGGAGGCACTTGCTAATATTTGGTACATTTTTGCCGTTTCTTTTCCCCTTTAGCCAAACCAGCACTGATTGATATCTAAGAGTTCAAAGACTTGCCAACAAGATATGACAAGATAAACCTGGCAGCGCTCTCTAGTGGAGACCGTCCTGTCCTGCAATCTATTGTTTCTTATTATCTTTCATATACAATAAATACTAATATGTCTGCAGTAAGTGAATACTGGCTGATATATGGCTCTACACAGCAGTTATTTATCATCAACGGGTCCATCGACACCAACATGAGAAATAAAACAGACGTGTATCAGGAATAAAAAAATCTTGTATTTTTTAATGGACAGGGAAACATCCTTCAGGACAACGGTTGGTCATCACACAATAATCAGCAACGATACAATGTAGAGAGTCCGACTGTGTGTCGAGCCTTTCAACACCTCTCCTCCCTTCTCCCTCTGGCACAGGGAATAACGGAGGGCTTATTATTGCAGACACCTTGGCTCTCCTCTGACAGATAGATAGAACACACCTCCTCCCCTCCTTGTAAGGCTTGGGGGGGTTTGGGGGTGGGGGTTGCCCGGGGCGTTCACTGAAAGGTTATAAATAAAAAAACAAAGAAAGAAAGAAAGAAAGAAAACACAAGGCTTCGGATTCATCAAAGTCAAGTTCTATCACAGTTTGAACCCTCTGGAGTCTGGAGTCACTGCGAGGCCGGACCAGCTCAGCGTGAACCGAGCACCACCTTTCTCAACTCTACGTATCCGCCCGTTCCAGAGCATCGGGGCTGAGGCTACTCCTACATAAAATATACATCGCTTAATCAGGTTCACCATCAGCGGAGTCCTAGCATGTTTCGAGTATCAGGAGAAGAAGTGACTCACCTCAACATTAAATAACGTTAGCTCTGAAGAAAGTAGAACCAACAAGGTTTCTCTCTATAAAACTGTACCAAGAGGAGCTCTGTCCTCATACAGTAAATAACCACCCAGTATTGCATTGGACAATAAAGAATGGGGTCATTCAATCAGTATTTTATCAGATACCAATTAGTCAGAGCCCAGTGCAATTAGGTAGTCAATCTACAAATGGAAACATCTGAAAATGCAAATATCAAAATCTCTAAAACATCCAGATGATTCTTTCCCAAAAGATCTTTTTTTTTTTTTCTTAAATCAGAACATGCAATAGTCAAAACTGTTTCCTCACAAACAGGATTTAAATACTGAGATCCAAAGATCTGTAAGAACAATTATGCAGTCACTCCAACAAACTGTGTCGATTAATATGGCGATATGCTGTCGATCGGGGTCGTCCGCACTAAGTCCAATAAGAGCGAGACAGAAACGAGGCTGTCTTCAGACTACTTCAAACCTCCCATGTTGCTGACAATCTGTGCAGGAAGAGGACACGAAACAGGACAAAGCAGTTGCACAATAACAGAGTGTCCGAGCACATCCTGTGTTCAAAGGTTCTAAACCGGGGGACGAGACCAGCTGCGCTGTGTGCAGGAGGGAGGACGGCGTCTCAGCGTCCGGCGCGCTTCTGCGTGTCAGAAGTGGAAAAAGGAGTGCTATCAAAAGATGAACACGCTGCGTTCATCAGCGGCCACATTTTCAGATTTCACTGTCCAAGCTGTTCATTGTTTCTTTGCAACATGCCAACCTTTATCTAACTTTGGATGGATGGCAACCAATCACAGGGCGGCGCTGAAGAATACAGACTGAAGCTCAGCTCACTATTTGCCCCTCTTAATGCATACTGCTCGGGGGATTCAAAGATGATGAGAGAGTTGAAGACAAAATATAATCGGATAATAATCTCTGATAATCTGGAAAGTGTTCTTCTCATCATCAATGTCATGTTTAAAAGGGTTTCTGCAGGTATCGGCAAACTCATTGAAAATGCTAGTTTTAGCGCAATTTAGTAAAATTCACTCCGCATTGGAGTTGTTGCCGACCTCCAGAGACCCTTTGTCATCCAGTTAATTGATGACAAACACTTTGAATACCCATCGAGACGGGTACAGTTTTAGCATATGAAATCCTGGGCCTGTGGGGATTTTGTTGCAGCATCAAAGCACTTTGGATTTCACTCAGATCACTGAGGAGTTGTGCGTGTGACGTGCTGATAAGAAACAAATAAAGACGCCGACCCGCCTGCTGCCTTTAAAAGAGGAATCAGTACCTAAGTAGGTTACGAGCATGCTTCTTGTGTCACTGTGCCTAACCAGACTGTGCACAAAATAGAATAACATACATATTGTGCTGTGTCAGAGTAAATGTATGGCTTGGTAAGAAAACACGTCATTCTTTGTCATTCACACTTTGGGGTTGCATGAGTCGATCTGCAAGAAGGGAACAAACGTGGTCGTCGTATGCTGATAACATGGCGGGGGGTTAGTTGGGGAAAATAAAATTGTGGGGTGGCAAATGGTTGAGTCCTCAGCAGAGATGCATGTCCCTCGTCAGAAACACCGTCGGCTCTCTTAAATAAATCTACAGTAGCCAACACTGCTTCCAGCCACAGGCAGTACCGAGAGTCGCATGAACACTAGAGATAGAAACACGCTCCATCGTCATATAAAAATGGGTTTATATCATATATAGTAGTTCTACATTATGTACGAACACAAGAGTGTGGTTGTTTTATGTGTGGATGTTACTATATTCTCCACAAGTATATATTATTATTGCACTCTGGCTACACATATTTAGTAAGTTAGTTAGTTTGGTTGTCTTTAGATGTACAGAACCACTAAGTGGTGTCAGAGCTGATCCAGCTCGAAGAACAGCTGGAGAAGGGCGGCTCAGAGATTACTTACAATACTGGATTTCGTTGGTATTGTATATTTTCCTTTAGTCAGCAGCTCACAGATGTATTTAAATGGCTGCAAGTTGTTTCATAATCAATCTGGACAAATAAATACATTGAGTATTCTTTTCTGTGTTGCATAAAATGCCGTATATTTGAAATTACTACAAGGAAAAAACACCATTTGATTCTTTTGGAACATTAGCCACATTGCAGAGACGTCAGTATGGAACAAAACATCTTAAAATGAATTTGTCTTGCATCACTGAGCCCGCTTCTTAAGACTGTTGTTTAGACACCAAATACATAGAAATCTGAGACAAAGCTACAGAAACACATCACATCCTGTTCACATCTGTCTCTTTTTCAAAATAAAAAAATAAAACCCCACTCCTCCACCTCAGCCAGCCTGCAGAGAGGAGGGTCGGTCTCCCTCACGGCTTTCTCCGGTTTGAAAAGAAACATACATTCACAAGAGGACAACAGAGGAAAAACAAGCAACTTGAAATTCAAATTTGTGTGCAAAAAACATTTTAGATCTCTATAAAAATATGTGCATATGGATAGAGCTATTTTTAATCTCACCAAATACAGTATTTTCCTTTATTTACACTGCACAGATACACAAATAAACATAAACTACAGCTCTGCCCTGCTTCCCCTCTCTGTCGTTGCAGGCGTAAGAACAAGATGGCCGACTTCCATGACAACAGATTTGACATTACTGGCACACAGGAAAATGCAGACACGCTCACTCACACACACAAACGCACACACACACACACACACACACACACACACACACACACACACACAC